TTGAGCTGCTGGTGGTTGCTTGCTGCTCCTTGGAGTTCCTCATTCTTTTTGTTGGAACACCTTCTTCTGATTCAGAGAGTGAACCGCTGCTGTGTTCTGGTTCATATACAGAATCAGAGTTTGACAGTGAGAGTTTCTCCGTCACTCTCATCTGTCAGAATTTGAAATGCCTCCTCGCTTGTATATGATCTTTTGGCCATATTTTTGACACTGATCAGGACCCACTGGTATGGCAGTGATCAGGATGGTGTTGCAGTGAGGGACAGATATCTGGCTGCAGTTGGTTCACACTAGTCACTGTTGGGCAAAAATCAGAGATACAGTGAGGTGGCTGGCAATGTTTTGTGAGTGTGTGTAAACTCTGTGCAAAGGCTGAAAATTACTCACAGTTAGCTGTACTGGATCTCTCTCCTCACAGACGATGGCAGTGAACAGGATCCACTGGTGTGGCAGAGATCAGGGACACTTTATGAACAGGTACACTGTAAGGTGATCAGGGACACTGATTGGGCCACTGTATGGTGATCAGGGACACTGCTGGGCCACTGCGGTGATCAGGGACACTGCTGGGCCACTTGTGTGGCAATCAGGGACACTGTGGGCAATCAGGGACACTGTGGCGATCAGGGACACTGCTGGACCACTTGTGCGGCGACCATGGACACTGCTGGGCCACTGCGATGAGCAGGACACTGCTGGGCCACTTGTGTGGCGATCAGAAACACTGCTGGGCAACTGCGGTGATCAGGGACACTGCGGTGATCAGGGGCACTGCTGGACCACTTGTCCGGCGATCAGGGATACTGCTGGCCACTTGTGTGGTGATCAGGGACACTGCTGGGCCACTTGTGTGGTGATCTGGGCCACTGCGGCAATCAGGGACACTGCGGTGATCAGGGACACTGCTGGACCACTTGTGCAGCAATCGGGGACACTGCGGTGATCAGGGACACTGCTGGGACACTGCGGCGATCAGGGACACTGCTGGACCACTTCTGCGGCGATCAGGGCCACTGCTGGGCCACTGCGATGATCAGGACACTGCTGGGCCACTTGTGTGGCAATCAGAAACACTGCTGGACTACTGCGGTGATCAGGGACACTTCGGTGATCAGGGGCACTGCTGGACCACTTGTCCGCGATCAGGGACACTGCTGGGCCACTTGTGTGGTGATCAGGAACACTGCTGGGCCAATGTGGGGATCAGGGACACTGCTGGGCCAATTGTGTGGTGATCAGGAACACTGCTGGGCCAATGCGGTGATCAGGGACACTGCTGGGCCACTTGTGTGGTGATCAGGAACACTACTGGGCCAATGCGGTGATCAGGGACACTGCTGGGCCACTTGTGTGGTGGTCAGGGACACTGCTGGGCCACTGCGGCAATCAGGGCCACTGCGGCGATCAGGGACACTGCTGGACCACTTGTGCGGCAATCAGGGACACTGCGGTGATCAGGGACACTGCTGGGCCACTGCGGTGATCAGGGACACTGCTGGACCACTTGTGCAGCAATCAGGGACAATGCTGGGTTACTTGTGCGGCAATCAGGGACACTGCTGGGCCACTTGTGTGGCGATCAGGGACACTGCTGGGCCACTGCGGCAATCAGGGACACTGCGGCAATCAGGGACACTGCTGGACCACTTGTGTGCGGCAATCAGGGACACTGTGGCGATCAGGAACACTGCTGGACCACTTGTGCGGCAATCAGGGACACTGCGGTGATCAGGGACACTGCTGGGCCACTGCGGCAATCAGGGACACTGCTGGACTACTTGTGTGGAAATCAGGGACACTGTGGTGATCAGGGACACTGCTGGGCCACTGCGGCAATCAGGGACACTTCTGGGCCACTTGTGTGGCAATCAGGGACACTGCTTGGCCACTGCGGCGATACTGCTGGGCCACTTGTGTGACAATCAGGGACACTGCTTGGCCACTGCGGCGATCAGGGACACTGCTTGGCCACTTGTGTGGCGATCAGGAACACTGTGACGATCAGGGACACTGTGGAGATCAGGAACACTGCTGGGCCACTATGTGGCGATCAGGGACACTGACATCAGGGACACTGCTGGGCCACTTGTTGGGCGATCAGGGCCACTTGTGGGCGATCAGGGCCACTTGTGGGCAATCAGGGCCACTTGGGGCAATCAGGGCCACTTGGGGCAATCAGGGCCACTTGGGGCAATCAGGGACACTTGTGGGGGCAATCAGGGACACTTGTGGGGGCAATCAGGGCCACTTATGGGCAAAGCCACTTGTTGGGGCAATCAGGGCCACTTGTGGGGGCAATCAGGGACACTTGTGGGGGGGCAATCAGGGCCACTTATGGGCAAAGCCACTTGTTAGGGCAATCAGGGCCACTTATTGGGGTGATCAGGGCCACTTTAGGGGCGATCAGGGACACTTTAGGGGCGATCAGGGACACTTTAGGGGCGATCAGGTGTCTACTACCTCTTCTTGGCTGTTTCTCCTCTCACAGACAACTCCGTGTGAGGAGAAGGAGGCGGAAGCCGCACCATGCGGCTTTTGTTTACACTTATGCTGTGTCCTTATTGGACACAGCTGATCACATGGTATGGGACCGATTTCATTGGTCCCATACCATGTCACGTAATCTACCGAGTCCGTCGGACTCGGCGATCATCGGGCTCGCGGGGGTGCGCGCTCTAGGAGCCGCGCACGAGCCTCAGACACAAGGTGCCGTTTAGAGACGGCAACCCGCTCCTGTAGATGTCCCGTCCTGCCGTTTATAAACAGCGGGCCGGACGGGAAGTGGTTAATACAACTTATTCAGTAAGCCAAGAATGTGAAAAAATATATATAAAATGTCCAAACACCATAAAAAATATATGAATAAGTGCTTTAGTCTTCAATATTCAAACTTCATGTGAAAAAAACCCACACAAATCACCATGCACAGATCCACCACCAAATAGAATGGGTAAACTCACCAGAGCAATATGCTGGTCAGATTATAAACTAGCACAAACGCTTCTGCTCTGGGAGCAACGATCTGCAGATGGATAACCAGCGTATGTGGGATAATTCAAATGGCACTAAATTCTTCTCAGTGGATACAAATGGAGAAAAACAGAAAAAGGGCGCACCGACCTAGTGCATTATCGTTTAAAATAATTTATTAAAGAAACAAAAATAGATATCATACTCACAATGGACATAATAACACAGGCATGTCAAACTGAACAAGGTGTATGAACCAAGGTTGGCTCTGAGGAAGAGGTTGTGTCCTCGAAACGCGTTAGTCAGTTGGTCATCCAGGGTTCCATCGTATGGACTCAGATGTTGTTTGGATCATACACCTTGTTCAGTTTGACATGCCTGTGTTATTATGTCCATTGTGAGTATGATACCTATTTTTGTTTCTTTAATGAATTATTTTAAACGATAATGCACTAGGTCGGTGCGCCCTTTTTCTGTTTCTCCATTTGTATCCAGTGTATTCGGACCACCCTGGTCTGTTGAGGGCAGCAAGCAGTGCATATTCTAGAAAATTCCAGAACATTCCTATTGGGTCTACTGAGTCCTTTCCTAGCGCAGGAGTAAAGTGTTTGTTGTGTTGAAATTTTTCTCAGTCTCGGAATGAACTCAGGAAGTAAGAGAAGAAAGACTCATAGCGTAACACTGTATCAAAAAAAATGTATTCATTAACATTCATCATATATCCCAATGACATTTACTAGTGTCCGAGCTGACACCAGCATAAATAGTGTGCACAGCAAATCAAACAGCCTGCTCCGGTGTACACAGACACCGACAGCTGGCTGAACGCAGTGACGCCACCTCCAGAAGCACTGCCCTATGCTGCGGCGAACTGGGCTGGGAGTTCAGCATCCTCGCAGCCTTCTAGGACACTTCCAAGGCCCCAGAGGACTGCTGCCCATTCACAAAGTGTAGCACGCTTCAAGCATGCGCAGTAGGAAACTAGCTTCACTGCCAGTTTCCCTTAGTCAGGATGGCATCTCAAGCACCCATCAGCCGATTGAAGAATCAGCTTTGGGTGAGGATACCGCTGGATGCATAGACAGGTAAGTGTCCTAATATTGAAAGTCAACAGCTACAGTATTTGTAGGTGCTGACTTTTTTTTTTTGGGAGGTGTCAGGGGCCGGAACGCTGTTTTAATTCTTCGTTGCAGCCAGAGAGAAGGAGAAATGATTGTTTTTACAGCCTTTATGGATGTAAAAGCAATCAGTGTAAAAAAAAAAAAATCTTCATCGCTCCCCACAAGTAGTACAGTGTCACCATGGTGACACTGTACTGCTAGGGTGACAGTATGTAAAAAAAACAAACAAAACATAATAATATAAAAAAAAATAATTAAAAATGTAAAAAAATGTTTTAAAAAAAATTATAATTTTTGGTTATAAACTAATTTGGGTTTTTTTTTTTTTTTACTAAAAAGATAACTGAATAAATTTGGCCAAGATTTATGATGAAATATTATTTATTTGCAAAATTTTATAAAAAACACTTTTTTTTCAATATTTTTGGACATTTTCATTTGTATAGCAAAAAAAAAAATAAAAATCCCAGTAGTGAATAAATACCACCAAAATAAAGTTTTATCTGTCTCAAAAAAATGCTAAAAAAAATTCATATGGGTACAGTATTGTATGATCGCGCAATTGTCATTCAAAGTGTGATAGCACTGAAAGCTGAAAATTGGCCTGGACAGGAAGGGGGTGAGAGTGTCCGGACTTGAAGTGGTTAAAACCGAACACATTATTTACACAGCTTCTGGGGCTGATTAAGGTGTTCATTAACCTCACGTGGAGCTTTAGTTGCTATAAATTGCCCTCAGAACCTGTGTAATTAATATGTGTTCAGTTTTAAAGGGATGAGGTGGCCATCCTACTTGTATACAAAGTGACACGCAGTTGGATTTGCTCTGAGATCGGCTTGGCTGGTCTGCCTGCAGTCACATGACTGCCCAGTGTAGTCAGAGAGTATTGTTGACACCGTGAGCAGAGGCATGATGCTGCGTGGAGGGAGTCGCCTTGCTGCTGGGCTCCTGAGAGCCTCCTATAGCTATACACAGCTAAGCAGGCCAGTGTGCCTGTCTGCGTCTCCTCAGTCTAGCCTGGCAGATGACAGACTCCATATCACAGTGCAGGGGCTCAGCCCTAGACAGCGGGTGACCCTGAGAGCTATGGTAGTGGATGAGCAGGGATGCCTGTTTGACTCCTGTGCCCACTATGAGGCTGACAACTCTGGCACTGTGGATCTGCAAAGGGACGCCTCCCTCGGAGGGGACTACACAGGGGTGCTGCCTATGGGGCTGCTCTGGAGCCTGTCCCCCTCCGTCATGGAGAAGCCCTTCCAGAGACTGGAGAAGAGAAGTGTCATGAAATCCCCTATGATCATGGAGCTGTTGGTGCACAAAGGCCACACCAATCCCAAAGCTTTACCTGGGCAGGTGGCGGCTAGGACCAAAATCGAGAGACTATTCTATGCCCCGGGAGTGCGACAAATCAGACTGAGAGAAGGGGCAGTTCGGGGCAGCCTGTTTTTACCTCCAGGTAATAATATTTGTGAGGGGGGAGTCACTAAAGCATGATGTATTTGTATTCCTGTGTGTAGTTTGTTAACTTGAACATGTTTCCAATCCATGAAAGGAATTAAACCTGCATGTTATTTTAACAATTTGTGTTCTTACATTTAAATGATTGTAAAGGTTCGTAAAAAAAGAAAAACAAACAAACATGTCCTCCTTAAATTCTCTGTGCAATGCTTTAGCACAGAGTGGCCCCGATCCTCCTCTTCTGGGGTCCCCTGCTAGCGCTCTGGGCTCCTCCGCGTGCCACTTCCTATGGTGGCACACATACGGGCTCGATCCTGAGCCACTCTGTGTGTGTCCATTGACACACACAGTGCTCTTCGACCCTGCCTTCCACTTCATCCTCACTGGATTTGATTGACAGCAGCAGGAGCCAATGGATCGTACTGCTCTCACTGAATCCAATGAGGAGGGAGAGAGAGAACAGCTCTGCTGCCTCAGTCATAGCGCTGGATTGTGATTGGGCTCAGGTAAGTATTTGGGAGGGAGTGCACATAAAAGGTTTTTTTTACCCCAATGCTGAGGATGTATTAAAATACAACACACACATCCCACAGTCCTTGTACCCACAAAATATGCTTTGAGTACCGTGCCACAAGTGAATCTAACCTCAGTACGATCTTTTTTAAAAAGTTACATATGCTTTTCTGCACACAGCCTACCTTAACCCATTTACACTTTTATGTGGGATAAATCTGACAAGCTGACTGTCAGACAGAAGTGATCTGGCAGCTCTGCTAGTCCCCCCCCCTCACTGCACACCCCTGTTATGTTTGCTGAGCCCCATGTGCCCATCTGTTGATCAGGGCCCATCATTGGCAGGTGCTGATGGGTACAGGAGAGGTAGATCAGTGAAGGGCCATTTTGTTGATTGCTCTTTCCTGTTACTGACCCAGAGGTGATGTGTAAAACGACACTTCCGGGTCCTGGCCAGGGAATATACACTTCAATAGCTTCACTGGAGGGCAGGTGGGCAGGCAGGTCCCAAACTAACTAGAACCCATCACCAAGAAAATGCATCACATAGGGGGCTATTTGTTTCCTATGTGATTTGTTTCCTATGTGATGAAAAAAAATGTAAAAAAAAAAAATTTAAATTTGTAAAAAAATTAAAGTAGAACTATAGGCAAAACTTCTTTTTCTTTTGGATAGAGCAAGGGAGGGTTATAATCCTTGTCAGACTTTTTTTTGACCATCTGTGTTCCATTTTGGAGATTTCCCTTCACTTTCTGTCCCATAACCAAAACGGGAAGTGAGAGTTACCGGTAATTCCTGCAAATTTAGGGATTTCCTTGGAGCCCTCCAGGTTACTAGAACTAGTGTTCCCATTGGAAAATTTCTCCTTTATTACTTTTCTGGGGACAACCCAAAATATGGGATTTTCTCTTACTTTTGATGATTATGATAAATAGGACAAATAGGATTAATTTCCCTAAGTTTAGGTTTACACCTATACGTTTTCCACTGTGTTTTGCAGAAATGCACAGCAGTCCATTTAACATGATTTCCTATGGGTCAGATTCACATCTCTGCGTTTTCACCCGGTGCATTGTTTGGAAAGGGTCAGGGATTTTTTAAACGCAAAACGGTGCATTTTTGGTTCTACAGACTTCAATGGAGACGCTGCAGAAAAGCATGTAGTGCATTTTTGATGATGTGCTTTTTTTTACACGTTTTTGATGCGTTTTTGATGCGTTTTGCATTTTATTCTGCCCAGCAACAAGTTGGGAAAAACGCAAAATGCACCGCAAAAAGCATTGCAGCATGAAAATAGTGTAAAAAATGCATGTGCAAAAATGCAAAACGCATTGCAGAAACAGATCAAACACAAATTGCATAGGTGTGAACCTAGCCTAATGGAGGTACAAACAGCAATAAAAACTGACAAGTGTTCTAATCTCTCTCTATCTGAAAAAAAGTTTTGCCTTTAGTTATAGTTTAAAGCACTTAAAATCCCCCCCCACCCCCAATATATTTGAACACCCCCCAATACACGAATGTACCAAAGTAAATGCATGCCCTGGGAGAGCTTGCACGAAAATATTGATTGCACTACACATGCTACATGTAGTGCTTACCCCCGAAGATGCTGCTGGATATATTGGGTCCCCTCTTTCCTGTGCCCATGACTCTGCATATAGCACCACACACACTGTGACACACCTGGCTGGGTGGGGAATAATTATTGCAGATATATACAGTATGCAGTAGAAGTTCCTCAGAAGCAAAAGAGATATGAAACGGCAGCAATGATTCAGCAAACAGTTAAACTAAGCAAGGAATATATTGCAAATAGGTGAACAGTAGAAAGAAATATGCTGTAGAAACAAGCAATGGGAGTAGAGACAGTGCTAACAAAGGAGAATTTTATGCCACGCTAACAGCTCAACAGTCTGTAATACTGTATAATCTGTTCTGCTTGCCAGCTTGTTGGGGGCCCAAGTATTATGCTAAGGTGTCCTAGATAACGTTCCTTTAAGCACTGATGATTACATTGACTCACTGGTTTGGTCTGGTTAAAGCGGAGTGCCACCCAAAAGGGGAAGTTTCACTTTAAGACTTTGTCCCCCGCTCCCCATTAAGGATTGGCACCTTTGGGGAGCGAGTACCCGAATTTGACAGGTACCCGCTCCCACTTCCGCTGCCTAGGCAATCGAAAGCAGAAGTTGTCCTCCCTCCCCGTAGTCTTCTGGGACACGTTACAGGTCCCAGAGACTACGGAGCCATTCGAAAAAGTGCATGCACAGTGGGCACCCGGCTGTGAAGCTGCAAGCTGTCACAGCCAGGTGCCCACACTGAAGATGCCGGCGTCAGGGAGAGAAGACAGCCGGTGAAGCCAGCGGTGGTGAGGACACTGCTGGAGCGAGGGACAGGTAAGTGGCTGTATTTTAAAAGTCAGCAGCTACAGTTTTTGTAGCTGCTGACTTTTTTTATTTTTCAGGTGGAACTCCACACTAATATTGTCACTGGCTCTGTGATACTCACAGGTAACACTGTCCCTCTTTTGTCAATGTGCGATGTGGATTTGGCCAACCGCCTCTTACCATCTTCTGTAGATGGTTTCCCTCTATAACCAGGGTGAAACACAGCATGTGTGTGTTGACAGTGTTCTTTTTTTGATCAGGCAGTGGGCTTCACCAGTATCCACGGTTCTTTCCAATGTCATCAGATGTTTGTCGCTGTGCCTCTTTTCCTCTCAGGTACAGTGGTGAGCAGGGGTGGACTGACAACTCATGGGGCCCCCGGGCAATAGGGCATCATGGGGCCCCTGTGTCCTTGCCCAAACTCAAAATAAGCCTATGAAAAAGGTACCAGGGGCATCTCATGGGGCCCCCTACTGACCCAGGCAGTGCCCCAGTTTCCAAATGGTCAGTCCGCCCCTGGTGGTGAGCATTCTGACGGCAACCAAATATGCACACAGTCCTCTCAGAAACAGCCTCCACACTTTTTCCCCTTATCTCCGGAAAACCGCAGGGAAGCTCCTCTTCTCTTTGCCCCAGAGCCTCGTGGGATTTGCAGTTTACTCCTTTCAGCTCACCAAGATAGCTCAGTCTGTCAGAACTACACCTCCCACAATCCTTGCAGTCCAAGATGTATGTCTATTCCCACTTGGTAGAGGGTGGACCCAACACTGGCTGCTCCTGTAGCTGTGCCTGTGTAAAAGTCTCCTCTGCAAAGGACAGAGTACTTTTCCTGAATGACCTGCAGATTGGGCTACATACATATTGCCATGTGTGCTGGACTCAGATCAATAATTTTTAACCCATTATTCACAGTTAACTTTAAACTGAAGACCCTTACAGTCTTTCTAAAGTGTCACCTTTGCAAAAATCTAGGGTAGCAAAGTTTGTCACATTTTCACGGTTGCGTGCAATTTTAAGCCTTGATATGTTGGGCATCTATTTACTTGGCACAGTCCCATCTATTATATTTTAGCAAACAATTGGCCAATGTATTGCATTTGTGTTCCCCAAATTTAACTTTAGTGTGTTTTTTTTTTTTTTTTTTTTTTTTTACTGAAATTGCACTAATATTACATGACAAAAAATGGAACTACTTCTATTGTATTTTATACGGTTTCTGCTTTTATTATATAAAATTTATAATGTTTTGCGGGTTTTACATAAACATCTGTCCTAAAATGTAAACGTATACAAAAAAATGCAAAAACGGCCGAGTCAAAGAACTTCATGCCAGTACAATTGGCATTGCTGTGCCATATATATATATATATATATATATATATATATATATATATATATATAAAAAAACAGGTGTGCAAGAAGCTGCATATCTTCAATCAGTCGCCTGTTAACTGTGGGCCAACTGCTGCTGACTATGCAATCCACTGCTGGGCACATATGAAAGAGGTCTCACAACAAAAAAAAAAAAAAAATACATACACACCTACACATGTAAAATAGTGCATGAAGCAAAGATTATCAAGTAGCAAGCTATCAAAGCCCATCTTGTACCAGTCTGTCCTTAGTAAAATGGTTGCATTGAGTTTCTGCATTATTACTTGACATCATTTACTGAATAGGTTGAAAGTTACCACTTGCAGGGCGGGTTGGCTTTTGACAAGGTGATATGCATACTTGCACATTATGGTGCAACTACAGTATCTCCCAGAAGTGAGTACACCCCTCACATTTTTGTAAATATTTTACTATATCTTTTCATGTGACAACACTGAAGAAATGACACTTTGTTACAATGTAAAGTAGTGAGTGTACAGCTTGTATAACATGTAAATTTGCTGTCCCCTCAAAATAACTCAACACACAGCCATTAATGTCTAAACCGCTGGCAACAAAGGTGAGTACACCCCTAAGTGAAAATGTCCAAATTGGGCCCAATTAGTCATTTTCCCTCCCGGATGTCGTGTGACTCTTTAGTGTTACAAGGTCTCAGGTGTGAATGGGGAGCAGGTGTGTTAAATTTGGTGTTATCACTCTCACTCTCTCATACTGGTCACTTGAAGTTCAACATGGCATCTCATGGCAAATAACTGTCTGTTGCCAGAGGTTTAGACATTAATGGCTGTGTGTTGAGTTATAACACTGTTATACAAGCTGTACACTCACTACTTTACATTGTAGCAAAGTGTAATTTCTTCAGTGTTGTCACATGAAAAGATAGAATAAAATGTTAACAAAAATGTGAGGGGTGTACTCAGTTCTGTGAGATACTGTACATGCTAGTGTTACCTTCTCCAGTGATGCAAAGTCCATGCACCCTTGTTGCTCATTCCATGAGAGTTGACATCTACTTCCAGTCACTAATTAGTCCATATATGTATTACAATAACATCAGAAATCATTCTTTAAATGCTACTAGTATAAATCTTTGTATATAGAGTGCTTTCAGCTTCTGGGAATCCCCTCGCAGCATCAACCAGACTGGGAGAGGGAGGGCAGTATTAGCAGCCAATGATCCTCTGCTGCAGGGCACGTGCTGACAGGTGTGTCCCTGACCAATCTGTGATATTGTACAGGTCAAGAGCTTGGCTTTGCTATCTGGCACCAAAAGGCTGCCTGAACATTATTACAAATCCTTTGGAAGGCATAATAGTTTCCAAAAAAATATTTTTTTTGAATGTGTATTCAAGCTGTATCCATGCCCTGGGTTTAGCTATAATGAATATGACACATTACTCCATGTTAAGAATTCCACTTTCTATTCACAGGGGAGGGATCATTTCCTGGAGTGATTGACATGTTTGGAGATGAAGGCGGTTTGGTAGAATATCGTTCCAGTCTCCTAGCTAGTCATGGATTTGCGGCTTTGGCCCTCCCATATCTGGCTTTTGAAGACCTTCCACCAGCAATGACTGAATTTCACCTAGAGTACTTTGAAGAAGCTGCCAAATTTCTATCCCAGCATCCTAAGGTAGGAAATGAGCAGAGCTATTTTATCATTTATGTCTGACAGTTGAGAGTTGTTATCCCTCTGATGCAGTTTAAAGACGTTCTTATAAACATACTGTATAAAGGAAAGGCCAGATTCCTTTCCTCTGCATCAAGTGGAGAAATGTACAAGTTAAAGTGGTTGAAAACCTCAGACATGAAATATGAACAAAGCATAGCCCTTTATAGTGTGTACATGTCCCAGTCCAGAGCCCTCAGGGGGAGATTTACTAAAACTGATGCACTCAGAATCTGGTGAATCTCTGCATGGTAGCCAATCAGCTTCTAAGTTAGGCTTGACAATAAAACCTTGAAGCTGATTGGTTGCTATGCAGAGCTGCAATGGATTTTACACTCTCCAGTTTGAGTAAATAACCTCCTAAGTGTAATTTCTGTCTCCTGTCTCGTTCCTCTGCTATCTGCTTGAGTTACTTCTGATAAGTTTTCATGACACTAAGAGAATAAAGGTGACAGCAGAGGGCACAGCCTGTGATTGACAGCCTCAGCTTTGTTCCTGTGTGCTGTGTGAAGGGGGCGTGCCCTCCCACCAATCATATGTCAGAGCCCTCCTCACTGAGTGTAACTTCAGCTCTTCGCCCTCTTCTTTCCAGAACTAGGAGATCCTCTGTAAATTCTGCAGTTTGAGTAGACTTAGAGGGAAACCCACAATGCGCTTCCTGTGAAAACGTACCGCTACCTACAACTCCGCCACTGGATTTCCACCCTTCGTCGCAACTCCTCTTACCCATTTCAGAAAATGGCATTCGAACACATCTGCTTTCACTCACTGTGAGCCCGGGGCACCATCTCCTCCATCTATTCTTCCCTATTCATAGGAAGTTCATCCCGCTCCTACCTGTGCAGTTCTAAATGGAACAAGATGTAACAGCCCCTCTAGAGCTGGAGGACTGGAGCAAGGCCTGGTCTGTTATAGCCAAATGCTTTTTCAACATTGTCACTATGGAGGAGGCCTATAAAGTTCTTCTTCGCTGTTATTGGGTCCCGACCCACATAGCTCACTCGAACCCATCATGTAGTGATGGATGCTTCAGAGGCTGTGGCCAGCATGCAGATCCAGATATGGTGGTCCTGCCCCCTTCTGGTGGGCTTTTAGTCATGGATGTACGGCCTCCTTTCGACCCTTCCGCAAGGACCCCCGACATGCACTTCTCCACTGCCCGCTTCCCGGTCTCTTTTATTACCAACAGAAACTGGCCACATACCTTTTCATAGCTGCAAAACGCACCATTGCTAGGGCCTGGTGGAAGCCTTGGGTGGGGTTTGCGAAGGTAAAGAGCATCTTGACCACTCTCATGATTCGTGAGAAAATGACAAGTATACTCCATGACTTTCACCCCAAGATCCTTAAAGTGTGGAGCCCATGGTGGTCCTACACTCTTCCCACTCTGACCCGACTAGCCTGGGAATTCCGGGGGATGCCTCCTGACTCGCAGGCACCTTCTTCTGTTCTCTTCTAACTGTACTCCTTTCTCTCTTTGTCCTCCCTTGCTCTCTCTCTCTCTTCCTGCCTTTTTCCCCCCCCCCCCCCCCCCCCCCCTTCCAATCTACCACACCCTGGGTCTCCACACCCAGAAGTAAGCTGCCATCTCCAGCACTGGCTGCTGGATACCATTTGTCCTTAATTGTACTGAATTCCTCAATACTGCGATATGTTTGTAACTCAATGTTTCTTTTGAGTCTCGGTCCCCTGCGTGAGACCCAACCACTTACTTTTTGTTTTATTATAATTTCTAAATAAAAACAATACAAAAATATTGTACCAGAATAGACGTAGAGGAAAGATGGCTATAGATAAATAGGTACAATGTATGTAGGAGGATCTATGTGTCACCTGAGGCTAGTCACTTTAAGAAGTACTCTCTCTCTTCTCCTTGCCCACCCTTGCCCAGTGTGCTCTTTCACCTGGCCATCCCAGACAGTTTATCATATAGCTGAATGTTGCCCTGGTCCAAAGCTGGTCTTTTTCAACTTAGTCACTTGGTCCATCCTATGTCCTGTATTCCAAAACAACTCTCTTTTTTTCTCATATCATTTAATTAAGGTATATCTATTTTTAAAGGCAAGTCAGTTTTGGGTCAATTATTTTTAAAGTATGCACATTCTTAAATTATTTTTTTTCATAATTTTTCATCATTAAATAATCTATATTTTACTATAAAATATTTTAAACAGGGTGCACCCATAACATTGGTTTTGCAGAGCATTCTGGGTTTTGTAAAGGTGGATCACAACTGTAGCTTCTCCACCTGTAACTGTCTCCCTAATTGAACTTTCTTAGGGCCCAGGTTGAACAGAGCGGGTAGGAAAAAAGAGGTAAATCATTTCTCTGGCTCATTTAAATCTATGTTCAGTCTGAGTTTTGGCTATTCAGCTCAAAAACAAAGCAAAGCATTTAAGGTGTATGTCGGGGCGAAAAATAAAATGTAAAACATATACTGTAATATTCCCAAAATAAGAACTAAAAGGGAGAGAGAAGATGACGCCAGCTAAGTGTAGTGGTTAGTAATGCATTTATTAGCATAGGATTAAAAACACTCATAAGAAGTGGAAAAATATAAAGCTCATCTGTGGATGGATGTGGGACCACTCCTCTCCGTCCTGCAGGTACTGCACCTGGAACACCATGGGAATGGGCTGAGGTGGTTAGAAGCCGTGTGGACTGGTTAGTCCCATTCTCTTGGTGTTTTAGGAGCACTGCTCCATCCACAAATGAGCTTTATATTTTTCCACTAATAAATACATTACTAACCACCACACTTAGCTGGCGCCTCCTTCTCTCTCCCTTTTTGTCTACATTCAGAGTTGGCATTACTCTAAAGGATGGCTGCTGCGATTTAACCCCAGGGCTTTAAGAACTGTCAAGGACTCCTGTATGTCTATGGACTTTTATCACACTGCCCTTCTTTTTATAGTGCCCTGATTGTGTGTTTTCTCTACATACATGCATATATTTCTTATTCTTATTCTGTTTTTATCAGATACGTTATCATTTTGGGATAATCTATCAATGTGCACCAGAATCTCTTGTCATTTTTTTCCAAAATAAAATCTAGCAGAGTCAATAATTCTCCCAGAAGTTTTTTACTTAATCAGCAAGCATTTTCTGCACTTATTGAGCAGCCTGTATAACAGGCCCAAAGAAAGCAAATAAGAGAAGTCCATTGTTTGGGATTTCTTGCTTTTTACCACTTCAGCCTCAATGATGTGCCCATACGTAGGTTGTGGTTCTACTGGGATGATGCCTGCAGCTATAAACATCACCCTGCTAATGTTTTTATTAGCAGACTAATTAACCACTGGATAGCTTTTACAGGCGGTGAAATGAGGTCCCTCCTCCCGCCACCATCCGGTGCCTTTCCAAGTGACATACTAGGCATTTATTTATTTGGCGTACCATCATCTTTTATATTTGACCAAACAATTGGTTATTATATTGTGTTTTTGTGCACTAATATTCATTAAGGTATTTCTCCAATAAAGTTATGTTTGAAAAACCACTGCGCAAATACCTAGTGACATAAAAAAAAAATGCAACACTCACCATTTTATTCTCTAGGACCTCTGCTTAAAAAATATATAATGTTTGTGGGTTCTAAGGGATTTTCCTTGCAAAAAAAATGGTAATTTTTACATGTAAGAGAGAAGTGTCAGAATACGCTTCAACTTCTATAAATACTTGACTAAACCTATATATAGTTTTTAATTATATTTATATATGCATATATCACTGTATGTTATTTGTTATTTATGTAAGCATGTTTAGGTTATGTTTTCCTCTCCATTTGTTTTTTTTTCTGGTTTCTCAAGGTACGTGGTCCTGGGGTCGGTGTAGTCGGAACTGGCAAAGGAGCAGATCTTGCGCTTTCTATGATTACATTCCTGCCTCAAGTGGTCGCAGCAGTAAGCATCTCCGGCTGTTGTGCCAATACTGCTGCCAGCTTGTCTTACAAGCATTTCACCATCCCAGGCTTGGCATACAACATGAGTCGGGTGCAAGTGTCTGAAACAGCAGTGTTTGATGTGTCTGAAGCTCTGGATGATCCTCTCGATCCCGCTAACAGTCAGTGCCTCATCCCAATAGAGAAAGCTAATGGCACATTTATGTTCGTTGTTGGTGAAAATGACTTGAACTGGAAAAGTTCTGTGTATGCTCAGGCAGCAATAGATCGCCTTCAACAACACAGCAAAAATAACTTCACCCTGCTAACATATCCAGGAGCTGGCCATAGAATTGACCCCCCATGCTCTCCATTCGCCCTGGCAGCAGTTGATCGGGTCTTGGGTGTTCCTATTCTAGGAGGCGGGAAACTTAAAGCTCACTGCCAGGCTCAGGAAGATTCCTGGCAAAAGATACAAGACTTTTTTCACTTTCACCTAAGATGAACAGGTAGAAAAGACAATACAGTACATGAGCAACTATGTTGAATGCCATTGAAAGTGTGAAGAACCTTTTATAAGGAGCGTGCCAAAGCCTTTGGAGTTGGTTTGTGATTTGACTGATGCTAATATTTGCACTATGACTCACAATAACAATCTGTACTTGAATTTTTTGCCTACACAAACTTACTAATAATCCAATTTTTGTTATAATTGTACAAAAATATTTTGAACATTTCACCATACACAACATTAAAAAGATATGTGGAATCCAACCAAGATTAAAGTTGATCTCTAGGGATAAAAAATAACCTTTTCCACTCCACCCCTGTACTTGATCTTTATTTTTTATTAAAACAAATCTACCTAAAAGACCTGATTACTTGTTCTAAACTCCAGTGAATGGTTGGGTCCTAGGTCATCTTTCTTCTGCTCTGTAATGTGAGAGGGTCTAATCTTCAGTGCCCACACATCCTGGACAATGTGGATGTTGCACACTGGCTGTAAGAAGAGTCCAGATCTTGGTCCTCACAGAGTCCTAAAGCCTTCAGGAGGGAAGTCACATAAAGGGTAGGCACAAGTTCAGTTGGTAGAACCAGCAAAAACAATGGAGTGCAGTTTCTGACCACCAATCGCCACTATCGTAAAAGGCAATCCTGGGTGGACAAAAGGCCAGTTGGTTGCACCAGCAAGGACAACCGAGAGCAGCTTTTGACCACTGGTCACCACTATAGTGCCTCTAGGTAGTGTTGACCAGGGAAGCTGCTCTCCATTAGGGGTGTTTGAAGCTTCTATCATTAACAAAAACAAGATTGGGTTGTGAAGGGTGGGGCAGAAAGCATCTTTTATAGCAAGATTTATAAGATTTATGAACATGTTGCTATACAAAATTATACCCATTATACTGCCCATTATCAACCCATGGTCTGATTACAAAAGCGACACCATGTAAGTAAAATTTAATTGTTGGCGAAGATGTAGTTTGAAGGACTCTTAGCCACTTGCCGTCCGCCTGCTGTTTATAAACGGCAGGACGGTGGCACTCCAGGGGCGGGTTGCCGTTCATAAACGGCACCCGCCATTTCTAGCTGTGTGCGCTCCCTGGGAGCATGCAGCACCGCAATCCGGTGCCCACTGTGTCCTCTGGACACAGTGAAACACCGATCGTCAGACGGGACCTCTGTACGAGGTCACAAGCATGTGATCACTGATAGGCCAATCAGTGATCACATGCAAAGTAGTAAGCAAGATGTCACTTGTGACATCATTGCTTACTACGTGTGAAATCTGTAAATAATCACAGAGGTCACATGGTACAAGGCTATTCACAACAGCCTTGTACCATGTGACAAGCTGTGACCAATCACAGCTCACTCAGTATTTCTCAATGGCTGCAAGAATGCAGACAGAGAGAAAGAGAAATGATTGCTTTTACATCCTATATGGGTGTAAAAGCAACCACTGTAAAAAAAACAAAATCTTCTTCATCACCCCCCACAAGTAGTACAGTGTCACCATGGTGACGCTGTACTGCTAGGGTGACAGTATGTAAAAAAAAAAACCCATAAATAATATAAAATAAAAATGTGAAAATTATAATTTTTGGTTTATAAACTAATTTGGCTTATTTTTTTTTTTTTTCACTAAAAAGATAATGGAATACATTTCGGCCAAGATTTATGATGAAAGATTATTTATTTGCAAAATTTTATAAGAAAAACACTTCAAAATTTTTTTCAAAATTTTTGGACTTTTTCATTTACATAGCAAAAAAAATAAAAATCCCAGTGGTGAATAAATACCACCAAAATAAAGCTTTATCTGTCTCAAAAAAAATGGTAAAAAATTAATATGTGTACAGTGTTGCATGACCGCGCAATTGTCATTCAAAGTGTGATAGCGCTGAAAGCTGAAAATTGCCCTGGACAGGAAGGGGGTAAAAGTGTCCGGACTGGAAGTGGTTAAGGAGCATGGGTCAGACATAGTGAAAATGGAAGTTTTGAGGACAAAGTAAGGAGATTCAGTGCTAGTTTCCTCCTGTGTGGTGCAACAAGCCTGTCTACTGAAAATTCCATTATCTAAAAATGTCACTGCCTTGGCACATAATGCTTTTCCATTTCCTGTTGTTCTGATCAGCAAATACCATCTGTTATTTGGTATTTACAACTCTTGTCTTTCAAGCAGTGCTTGGAATAACAGGTTGCTAGAGCAACTTGTCTGAGGCCCATATATGGATTTAGTGTACTGCCAAACATAGTTAGCACCTAAGGAGCTCAAATGTAGTGGGTGTATGCCTAAGCATTTTATTAAAGCCCTTCTCTGGACAAAAACAACCTCCACTACAAAGCGAAATAAAAACGAGAAGCGCACAAACCTTGCGCATTACCTCAGTAAACAAAAATGTATTAATAAGAAAGGTACTCACAAACAGCGAATAAAATCAGGCATGTAAGTCCTCACAGGGACTTCAGAGATAGAGAGCCAGCGCGAGTCCCATCGTGGGGGTAAGCACTCAGTTCACTGACGCGTTTCGAAGGCCAAACCTTCTTCATCAGAGCTGAAGAAGGTTTGGCCTTCGAAACGCGTCAGAAATGAGTGCTTACCACCCCGATGGGACTCGTGCTGGCTCTCTATCTCTGAAGTCCCTGTGAGGACTTACATGCCTGATTTTATTCGCTGTTTGTGAGTACCTTTCTTATTAATAAATTTTTGTTTACTGAGGTAATGCGCAAGGTTTGTGCTCTTCTCGTTTTTATTTCGCTTTGTAGTGTTGGTCGGGCTTCCCCAGCCTTGTTTGGAGCCGCACAACCTTTGATGCACTGGTGGTCGCTGTTTTCCAGTTCTGGTTCCACCTATTTGCCACCCGCCTGGGTCCTAGAGCGCAGAAGAAATCGTGTTTGGTCAAAAACAACCTCCACCCATTTTATAAAAAAAAAAAAAAGCTTTTAACACCTATTTTAAAGGATAAGTTCACTTAATAAATAAATAAATGCCCATTTTTTTGCAAGTATTTACTATTTTTTTCTGGAAAGCATTGCACCAGTGATCATCAGATTGCTGGTGCCATTCAGGACTCCTGCAAGTTGTCAGTGTATCTGTGTCCCTCTGCATGCCATACGGGCAAGCAGATACAGGAAGACTCAATGAATTACCACAGTGCTCAACAGCGCTGTGGTAGTTCATTGAGAACAAAAAGCCGACAGCTGGAAAGGCTGTTGGGACTTGTAGTTCATTCATTCACAGAACTCTGTGAATAAATGATGCGGCTGTGTGGGCAGAGCCCCGCATGGCTGTGCTGTTTCAGAAACTGACAGCTTGTACAGGGAACTTCTCCCTATACTGCTGTCATGAAGGGGGGAATCGAGTAGTGGCTGCAGTGGTGGGAACGTGTTACATGTTCCACCCTTAAAATGGGTGGAACAAGTATCATGTTCCCTAAGTTGAACTTATCCTTTAAACCTATGAGTCTAGCACTGTTTTATTTCCATTGCCCATGACTGGATTATCATATTACTTACAGATTCCCAGATTTATTTGCTAAGTTTAATAGACATTTACATAGGTACATAGTCTGGCTGAAAAAAGACAAAAGTCCATCCAGTTCGACCATAGGGAAAAAAAAAAGTTATACTCCTATACCCACAGTTGATCCAGAGGAAGGCAAAAAAAACACAGCAAAGCATGATCCAATTTGCTCGTGCTGAGAAAGAAATTCCTTTGTGATCCCCCGAGAGGCAATCGGATATTCCCTGGATCAACTTTACCTATAAATTTTAGTATCCAGTTATATTCTGTGTATCTAGGAAAGAATCCAGGCCTTTTTTGAAGCAATCCACTGAGCTGGCCAAAACCAACTCTTGAGGGTGTCTATTCCACATTTTCACAGCTCTCACTGTGAAGAAACCTTTCCATGTTTGGAGATTAAATTTATTTTCCTCTATTGCTAAGTAAACAGCCTCCACTGCTTAGTAAAAAAAAGAAAACCCAGGGACACTACATTGCAGAGTTTTGAATGGAGCTAGTGATCTTTTTAAGTTCAATTTGCTTTTCCAAGAACAATGTGGTACTAAATAGGGGATGGGGGTTCACAGAGATTTCCCAGATACAGTAGATTGACAATAATAACAGAGAAAAACACAATTCAAACCACCATAGTGTAGTATCATTAATAAAGGTGCCACATTATTAACCACTTCAACTCCAGAAGGTTTTACCACCTTCATGGCATGCATGGCCATGGCGCTGCAGTACTTTCACTGGTAATTGCGTTGTCATGCAATACTGTACCCAAACAAAATTGATTGTTTTTTCTTTTGGTGGTATTTGTTCACCACTGGGTTTTTTATTTTCTATTATATAAATGAAAAAAAGACTGAAAATGTTGAAAAAATCCAATGTTTTTTACTTACTACTATAAAAAATTGAAAAAAAACATTCTTCATAAATTTAGGCCAAAATGTATTAGCTAGCAACAGCTGCTTTTAATCCATACAGCACCTGCAGATAGCCGTTCGGGGCAATATCTGGTGGATAGGGGGCAGGGAAGATTTTTCCAAGAAGCAGCAGCCTTCAGGAGATCGGATACACACATTACATGGGTTTGGTGCTCAAAAAATAACAAAAGTTTAGCTTTAAATTACCTCTAGGAAGTCTTTTTTTTTTTTTTTTTTTTTAAGTGGAGATTTACAATGTAACTATTTATTGACAGATTTGAATGCACATTTACCAGCTTTTGTTACCACACACAATATAAAATCTATATTATAGTTCATACTTTTAATATACTGTAACAGATATGTTTGCATCCAGTTATAGCAGCTTGTTCCATCCACTTGGGCCTCATGCACACTGCAGCTCAAAAAAGTTGCTTCTTTGAACGTTTGAGCTTTTTTTTTCTGTCTGTAAACTCCCCTCCATGTTGGCCTATGTGTCCATGCACACTATAGATGTTTTTAGGAGTTTAAAGCTGCGTTCCACCCAAAAGGGGAAGTTCCGCTTTAAAGACTGGTCCCCTGATCCTCATTAAGGATTGGCACCTTTGAGGAGCGGGTACCTGAAATTGACAGCTACCCGCTCCCACTTCCGCTGCGATCACCTAGGTGATCGGAAGTGGAAGTTGTCCTCCTGCCCTCCCTCCCTGTAGCCTTCTGGGACACATGACAGGTCCCAGAAGACTACGGGGCCATTCAGGAAGCACAGTGGGCACCTGGCTGTAAAGCCTCAAGCTGTCACAGCCGGGTGCTCACACTGAAGATGCTGGTACCTGGAGCACAGGATGGCCGGTGAAACGGGCTGCGGGGAGGACACCATGGGATCGTGGGACAGGTGAGTGGCTGTTTTTTAAAAGTCAGCAGCTACAGTTTTTGTAGCTGCTGATTTTTTTTCTTTTCTACAGTGTGAGTGGAACTCCGCTTAAATGACAGAGGAGTTTACAGGCACAAAAAAATACTTTTGCTTGTGCGTTCAGGAAAGGAGCTTTAATGAGTGTTAACATTAGTCAACATAAGACACGTTAACACTCATTCTCACATTAATACATTCTAATGGCCAGAATTCCTGGCAGTGGAATACATTAACACCAAATGTGGGTACGTGCATTAACGCACATGCAAAAACGTGGCTTTGTACATTGTAGGAGATAGAATGCTTTCAAGTTTACAGTGTGCATGAGGCCTTAAAGTACTGTATATGTAAGCCAAAGCTTTTTTGACCCTACTTCTATGAATCAAAGGAGTGCACTTTATTCTGCACTCCTGTGCCCCTTTTTTAGCTGACAGTGGGCTAAAGCCCACTGTCTACTGGTGTCACCACTGAGAGCCTGAGCCAGCCGCCCCCGGCCCCTCCACAACCCAGTAATGAGACTGACAGTCACTGGCTTGCTGCTGACTGAAAGCTGAGAACTGAGCTATCAGTGTTCTTTCATCGCTCAGTTCTCAGTTCAGCGTTGCATGACCCGCGCAATTGTCCAAGTAACACAGCGCCGTAACGAAAAAAAAAATGGCCTGGTCAGGCAGGGGGGTAAATCCTCTGGAGGGCAAGTGGTTAAATAGCATTTTTGGTTTGCGGTGTTCATATGCACTGCTGTTCCACTTTAAGAAGATTCAATCCCATTTGTCCTATATACTGTTATCACTATGAAAGTGAAAAATATACCACATTTTGTGTTGTTACCAGAACAAGAATAGAGGGGAAATTTTCCAATTGGGACACAGTGGGCAAAAAATAATTCTGACGGGTTATAACCTTCCCGTGCTCTAACCAAAATGAAAAAAAAAAAAGTTTTGCCTATAGTTCTACTTTAATTTGATTTTAACTCTGTTGCCACTAGATGGAGCTATACAACAAGCTATATTTATTGTAGGAACTTCTTTAGGGTAATACATGAAGGTTTTAAAGAATAAGTTCACCTTTGCAAACTTTTGGGTTCTTGGAGGATGAGGGAAACACGCTCGCCTGACCTAAATCCATTAGAACACCTCTGGGATATCATGTTTCGATCCATCAGACGCCGCCAAGTTGCACCTCAGACTGTCCAGGAGCTCAGTGATGCCCTGGTCCAGATCTGGGAGGAAATAGCTCAGGACACTATCCGTCGTCTCATCAGGAGCATGTCCTAATGCTGTCAAGCATGCATACAAGCACGTGGGGACCAAACTACTGAGTACCATTTTGAGTTGCTGCCAGGGGCGGACTGACAACTCATGGGGCCCCCGGACAATAGGGGATCATGGGGCCCCTGTGTCCTTGCCAAAACGCAAAAAAGCCTATGAAAAATGTACCAGGGGCATCTCATGGGGCCCCCTACTGACCCCGGGCCCTCGGGCAGTGCCCGAGTTTCCAAATGGTCAGTCCGCCCCTGGTTGCTGCAATGAAATTCATCAAAATGGACTAGCCTGCTGCATAACTTTTTCACTTTGATTTTCGGGGTGTCTTTGAATTCAGTCCTCTGTAGGTTGATAATTTTCATTTCCATCAAATGATGGGACATTCTTACATTCCTGAAACATTACCCAGTCCGGGTGTCGGCAACCCGCGGCTCTTTTTCATCTTTGCTGCGGCTCCGGAGCACACTGCCCACCAGGTGACAGGCAATAGGGTTTCAGTGGTCGGCAAGCCGCGGATCACGAGCCACATGCGGCTCTTCTGTGTGCCGGGCGCCCGCTCCCCTCCCTCCTCTCGGGCGGCCGCCTCAAAAGTCAGGACTCTGCAGCGGCCCGGCGGACCTTTTATTCCGGCCCGCGGAGCGTTGAACATTGGCTGTCAGGATGTAGGCGGGGCAGCCAGGATGCAGGCGGGGCAGCGTGACGAACTCCTCTCCTCTCACAGTCCGCCCTGAAGACCGGAACGGCGCGGGAACACGGCGAGAGGAACGGGCGGAGTAAAGGTAAGTGAATTGACACAGGGGGGACTTGGCTTACTACTTGGGGGGGAATAGTACTATGGGGGATGAAATACTATATGATGAGGGATTAATATGGGGGATGAATTACTATGGGGGATAAATTACTATATGGGGGATGAATTACTATGTGGGGGATGAATTACTATATGGGGGATGAATTACTATATGGGGGATGAATTACTATGGGGGATGAATTACTATATGGGGGATGAATTACTATGGGGGGGATGAATTACTATATGGGGGATGAATTACTATGGGGGAGGAATTACTATATGGGGGAGGAATTACTATATGGGGGATGAATTACTATATGGGGGATGAATTACTATATGAGGGATGAATTACTATGGGGGATGAATTACTATATGGGGGATGAATTACTATGGGGGATGAATTACTATATGGGGGATGAATTACTATGGGGGATGAATTACTATATGGGGGATGTATTTTCAGTTTTAAAAATGTGGCTCTCAAAATAAAAAGTATGCATTTGGAGTGCTGTCGATCTTCGGCTCCACATATGTATGTGAGCAGGTCTTCTCCAACATGAACTATATTAAAAACAAACATCGATCACGCCTCACAGATGACAGCTTGCAAGCCTGTGTGAAAATGAAGGTGACGTCTTACAGCCCTGATGTGCAGACACTGTGCACTGAGGTTCAGGAGAAAAAATCCCATTAACCAGATAATTTAAATATTTTAATTAGCTATTAATGTGCAAAAATATATTTTACATTGTTAAGTGAAAAAGTTATTTTTTTCTTCAGATTGACAGCTAACTGCACGATCCTGTATATAGCATTAAGGTAAGAAATAATATATGCAGTGTCGGATTTGTTTTAAATGTTGCAATGGTTTTGCGGCTCCCAGTCTTTTTTTTCCCTTCAGAAATGGGTCCAAGTGGCTCTTTATGTCTTAAAGGTTGCAGACCCCTGACCCAGTCCATATCAGTATAGATATCCAGTATGATATTTCTCCCCATTGAGATCTGATGTGTTCTCTAAGTGTTCCTTTAATTTTTTCGAGCAGTGTGTATGTATGTATGTGTGTGCGTGTGTATATATGTATATATATATATATATATATATATATATATATATATACACACACACAGATGAAACTCGAAAAATTAGAATATTGTGCAAAAGTTCATTTATTTCAGTAATGCATCTTAAAAGGTGAAACTAATATATGAGTGAGACTCATTACATGCAAAGCAAGATAGTTCAAGCCATGATTTGTCATAATTGTGATGATTATGGCTTACAGCTCATGAAAACCCCAAATCCACAATCTCAGAAAATTAGAATATTACATGCAATCAATAAAACAAGGATTGTACATAGAACAATATCGGACCTCTGAAAATTATAAGCATGCATATGTACTCAGTACTTGGTTTGGGCCCCTTTTGCAGTAATTACTGCCTCAATGCGGCGTGGCATGGAAGCTATCAGCCTGTGGCACTGCTGAGGTGTTATGGAAGACCAGGATGCTTCAATAGCGGCCTTCAGCTCTTCTGCATTTGTTCGGTCTCATGTCTCTCATCTTTCTCTTGGCAATGCCCCATTGATTCTCTATGGGGTTCAAGTCAGGCGAGTTTGCTGGCCACTCAAGCACAGTAATCCCACGGTCATTAAATCAAGTTTTGGTGATTTTGGCAGTATGGGCAGGTGCCAAGTCCTGCTGGAAAATGAAGTCAGCATCCCCATAAAGCTCGTCTGCACAAGGAAGCATGAAGTGCTCCAAAATCTCCTGGTAGATGGCTGCTTTGACCCTGGACTTAATGAAGCACAGTGGACCAACACCAGCAGATGACATGGCTCCCCAAATCAACACAGACTGTGGAAACTTCACACTGGACTTCAAGCATCTTGCAGTGTGTGCCTCTCCATTCTTCCTCCATACTCTGGGTCCTTGGTTTCCAAATGAGATGCAAAAGTTGCTCTCATCAGTAAAGAGGACTTTGGACCACTGAGCAACAGACCAGGTCTGTTTTTCTTTAGCTCAAGTAAGACACTTATGTTGTTTATTGTTCAGGAGCGGCTTGACAAGAGGAATACGACATTTGAAGCCCATGTCCAGGATCCATCTGTGTGTGGTGGCTCTTGATGCACTGACTCCAGCTTCAGTCCACTCCTTGTGAAAGTCCCCAACACTTTTGAATGGCCTTTTCCTGACAATCCTCTCCAGGTTTCGGTCATCCCTGCTGCTTTTGCACCTTTTTCTTCCACACTTTTCCCTTCCACATAACTTTCTATTAATGTGCTTTGATACAGCACTTTGGGAACATCCAACTTCTTTTGCAATTACCTTTTGAGGCTTTCCCTCCTTATGGAGGGTGTCAATGATGGTTTTCTGCACAACTGTCAGGTCAGCAGTCTTTCCCATGATTGTGATTCCTACTGAACCAGACTGAGAGACCATTTAAAGGCTCAGGAACCCTTTGCAGGTGTTATGGCTTAATTAGCTGATTAGAGTGGGACACTTTGAGCCTAGAATATTGCACCTTTCACAATATTCTCATTTTCTGAGATTGTGGATTTGGGGTTTTCATGAGCTGTAAGCCATAATCATCACAATTATGACAAATCACGGCTTGAACTATCTTGCTTTGCATGTAATAAGTCTATCTCATATATTAGTTTCACCTTTTAAGTTAAATTACTGAAATAAATGAAATTTTGCACGATATTCTAATTTTTCGAATTTCACCTGTGTGTGTGTGTGTATTATATATATATATATATATATATATATATACACACACACACGCTATATTGCCAGAAGTATTGGGAGACCCCTCCAAACCATTGGATACAGGTGTTCCAATCACCTCCATGGCCACAGATGTATAACATCAAGCACCTAGGCATGCAGAGTACTTCTACAAACATTTGTGAAAGAATGGGTTGCTCTCAGCTCAGTGAATTCCAGCGTGGTACCGTGATAGGTTGCCACCTGTGCAATAAGTCCATCCATGAAATTTCCTTGCTACTAAATATTCCATAGTCAACTGTTAGTGGTATTGTAACAAAGTGGAAGCAACTGGGAGCAACAGCAACTCAGCCACAAAGTGGTAGGCCACATAAAATGACAGAGGGAGGTCAGTGCATGCTAAAGCGCACAGTGCGCAGCAGTCGCCAACTGTCTGCAGAGTCAATAGCTACAGACCTCCAAACTTTGTGTGGCTCTCACATTAGCACAACAGTAGTGCATATAGAGTTTCATGGAATGGGTTTCCATGGCCGAGCAGCTGTATCCAAGCCCTACATCACCAAGTGCAATGCAAAGGGTTGGATGCAGTGGTGTAAAGCATGCCGCCACTGGACTTTACAGCAGTGGAGACATGTTCTCTGGAGTGACGATATTGTTCTTCTCTGTCTGGCAATCCGATGGACGTGTCTGGAATTGGCAGTTGCCAGGAGAACGGTACTTGCCTGACTACATTGTGCCAAGTGTAAAGTTTGGTGAAAGCGGGATTATGGTGTAGGGTTGTTTTTCAGGGGTTGGCTTGGCCCCTTAGTTTAAGTGAAGGTAACCTCTTAAGGCGTCAGCATACCAAGACATTTTGGACAATTTCATGCTCCAACATTGTGGAAAAAGTTTGGGGATGGCCCCTTTCTGTTCCAACATGACTGCACACCAGTACACAAAGCAAGGTCCATAAAGACATGGATGAGTGAGTTTGGGGTGGAGGAACTTGCCTGGCCTGGACAGAATCCTGACCCCAACCTGATGGAACACCTTTGGGATGAATTAGAGCGGAGACTGCTAGCCAGGCCTTCTCGTCTCACATCAGTGCCTGACCTCACAAATGTGCTTCTGGAAGAATGGTCAAACATTCCCATAGACACATTCCTAAACCTTGTGGACAGCCTTCCCAGAAGAGTTGAAGCTGTTATAGCTGCAAAGGGTGGTGCAACTCAATATTGAACCCTACGGACTAAGACTGGGATGCCATTAAAGTTCATGTGTGTGTAAAGGCAAGCGTCCCAATACTTTTGGAAATATAGTGTGTATATATATATATATATATATATATATATATACATATACACACACACAGTGGGGATCGAAAGTTTGGGCACCCCAGCTAAAAATTTGTATTAATGTGCATAAAGAAGCCAAGGAAAGATGGAAAAATCTCCAAAAGGCATCAAATTACAGATTAGACATTCTTATAATATGTCAACAAAAGTTAGATTTTATTTCCATCATTTACACTTTCAAAATAACAGAAAACAAAAAAAATGGCGTCTGCAAAAGTTTGGGCACCCTGCAGAATTTATAGCATGCACTGCCCCCTTTGCAAAGCTGAGACCTGCCAGTGTCATGGATTGTTCTCAGTCATCGTCTGGGAAGACCAGGTGATGTCAATCTCAAAGGTTTTAAATGCCCAGACTCATCTGACCTTGCCCCAACAATCGGCACCATGGGTTCTTCTAAGCAGTTGTCTAGAAAATTGAAAATAGTTGACGCTCACAAAGCTGGAGAAGGCTATAAGAAGATAGCAAAGCGTTTTCAGATGTCAATATCCTCTGTTCGGAATGTAATTAAGAAATGGCAGTCATCAGGAACAGTGGAAGTTAAAGCAAGATCTGGAAGACCAAGAAAAATATCAGACAGAACAGCTCGCAGGATTGTGAGAAAAACAATTCAAAACCCACGTTTGACTGCACGATCCCTCCAGAAAGATCTGGCAGACACTGGAGTTGTGGTACACTATTCCACTATAAAGAGATACTTGTACAAATATGGTCTTCATGGAAGAGTCATCAGAAGAAAACCTCTTCTACGTCCTCACCACAAAAATCATCGTTTGAACTTTGCAAATGAACATATAGACAAGCCTGATGCATTTTGGAAACAAGTTCTGTGGACCGATGAGGTTAAAATTGAACTTTTTGACCGTAATGAGCAAAGGTACGTTTGGAGAAGAAGGGGCACAGAATTTAATGAAAAGAACCTCTGTCCAACTGTTAAGCATGGGGTTGGATCAATCATGCTTTGGGGTTGTGTTGCAGCCAGTGGCACAGGGAACATCTCACGAGTAGAAGGAAAAATGGATTCCATAAAATTTCAGCAAATTTTGGATGGTAACTTGATGCCATCTGTGAAAAAGCTGAAGTTAAAGAGAGGATGGCTTCTACAAATGGATAATGATCCTAAACACACCTCGAAGTCCACGGGGGATTACATCAAGAGGCGTAAACTGAAGGTTTTGTCATGGCCTTCACAATCTCCTGACCTCAACATAATTGAAAATCTATGGATAGACCTTAAAAGAGCAGTGCGTGACAGACAGCCCAGAAATCTCAAAGAACTGGAAGACTTTTGTAAGGAAGAATGGGCAAAGATACCTCAAACAAGAACTGAAAGACTCTTGGCTGGCTACAAAAAGCGTTTACAAGCTGTGATACTTGACAAAAGGGGCAGTACAAGATATTAACTCTGCAGGGTGCCCAAACTTTTGCAGACGCCATTTTTTTGTTTTCTGTTATAATGAAAGTGTAAATGATGGAAATAAAATCTAACTTTTGTTGACATATTATAAGAATGTCTAATCTGTAATTTGATGCCTTTTTGGAGATTTTTCCATCTTTCCTTGGCTTCTTTATGCACATTAATACAAATTTTTAGCTGGGGTGCCCAAACTTTCGATCCCCACTGTATATATATATATATATATATATATACACACACAGTTGTGTTCAAAATAATAGCAGTGTGTTGAAAATAGTGAATAAAGCTCAAAATCCTTCTAATAGCTTTTATTTCCATACACACAAATGCATTGGGAACACTACACATTCTATTCCAAATCAAAACATGAAGAAAAATATATCAAAATTTGCGTTGTTCCTCTAAAAAAATTGAAGAAAAGTGAATATTAGACAAAATGTTGGGCCATTTCTCTTTAGGCCAGTCAATGTGCAATTGGCAAATTGTAACCTCTTTAGCACGTCTTTTTTTCAACAGTGGGACTTTGCGGGGCTTCTTGCAGATAGCTTGGTTTCACATAGGCGTCTTCTAATTGTAACAGTACTCACAGGGAACTTTACACCTTTACACTTTGATCTTCCTGGAGCTGATTGTTGGCTGAGTCCTTGCCATTTTGGCTATTCTTCTATCCATTCGTATGGTAGTTTTTTGCTTTCTTCCACGTCTTTCAGGTTTTGGTTGCCATTTTAAAGCATTTGCGATCATTTTAGCTGAGCAGCCTATCATTTTCTGCACTTCTTTATATGTTTTCCCCTCTCCAATCAACTTTTTAATCAAGGTACGCTGTTCTTCTGAACAATGTCTGGAACGACCCATTTTCCTCAGAATTTCAGAGAGAAATGCACTGTAACCAGCATGTACAACATTTGCTGCCTTCCTTCCTTAAATAAGGGCAATAACTGCCACCTGTTTTTCAAAGAATGAATGACCTCACTAATAGAACTCAACACTGCTATTATTTTGAACATGCCCCTTTCAATTAGTGATTAAATTACACAGAATCAGCAGCATGCATGTCATGACTGTTGGGTCTGTTGGATTTCTGTTACTCTACTACACCTGCTAGTAAATTATTTGCCATGTAGAAATATCATTTCTACCAAAAACAGTGATTGATCAGGTTAGTGATGTCTGACTGCTATTATTTTGAACACAACTGTGTGTGTATATATATATATATATATATATATATATATACACATACTTTTTTTCTCTTTTAATGCTGTACAAGGTTTTAGAATGGGAGTACATTTGAAAGAATGTTAAAGAAAAACAGATTTCATATACAGAATAGTACCACTCCATATATTATCAACATTCAGTTAACAAAATACAATCTTTTTCATGGTAGCAGTCCTTTACCATTTAGCTGTGCAACAACTAAAAATAACCCCTAGAGAAGGTTCTCTGACGCTTGCAACATATTTTCTCCCTTAACTGGCAAAACGATATTGAGTTGAGGATGAGTTCATGTGGGATTATGGTTAGTTGTGTTAAATCTGAAGGAACTTGAGTCATCTTTTGTGTATAACACTCATTTATCAGTTAAAAAAATTCATTTCACTTAACCTTCACTTATGAAAGATGTCCACAGGGTGGCAGTAGCTACCTATAGAAGAATGCAATACATTAGTTTGGTGTCAACCATCCATATAAAACAAAGAGCAGTACCAAAAAAAAAACCAATTTATACAATGGGTATCTTATTCCATTTGTTTTCTAAAATAATAGCCAGTCAGATAATAAATAATAATACCATTTGTAGTGGGGTGCTGTGTTCTGAATAATGGCTGGCTATTGTTACTTTCTATCCTACCTGTAGTTTAGTTGGTGATGTTGTTCCTCTGCACTAACATAACCCCAGGGGCGTATTTACCACAAGGCAAACAAGGCATCTGCCTAAGGCGGTATCTTTCAGGGGGGCAGCACCATCCCCCTAAAGAAGGGATGAAAGAAGAGACACACACAGCATGGGGACCAGGTGGGATCTGAGAGAGGCTGCAGGCTGCTTGATGGAGTATGCAGAGCCTGACTCTTGTTCCCAGGGATGTCCGGAGCTGTGAAGGTGAATGTCTTCTCTCTCTTGCCGGAGTGGGGGGGGGGGGGGGGGGGGGCGGTAGTAGTGGAAGGCTTTCTCGGGTGGGGGGGCTGGGGTGTTGTTGGTCAATGTCAGGCACTCTTCGTGGAGGAAGGGGGTGTTGGTCTGTGTCAGGGTCTCTCCGTGGGGGGCGATTGCCTAGGGCAGCACAAAACCTAAATAAACCACTGCATAACCCGTATGCCAAACAGGTACCTACAATATAAATGCATAGCAAGTTCAACCGGCATTTCCTTGTTATAATTTTTCACTGATGCCATATCTTGAAATGGTTCTGAATATTTTATCCGCAGTTAGTCCTTACGCTAGTACTTAGATGCGCAATGAATTTTATATATGGCAGAACTACCCATATGTGTCCCATCATTTACAGTGATGGACAACAGCTCTCCTCTGCCATATCCACATATAACCATGTATATTCATATTCTCATGTACAGACACAGCAGGTGAAATTTTGTAACTGAGCAGAGGATTGCGGTATTATTATTATATTACAGGATTTATATAGCGCCAACAATTTGCTCAGCGCTTTACAACGTAAGGGCAAACAGTACAGTTACAATACAATTCAATACAGGAGGAATCATTGACCCTTGCTCCTTAGAGATTACAATGTTTGGTGTTTCGTGGTCCTGACAGGCCTGTGAAATCAGTCTAAGATGATTAGGTAGCTGTAGTTAATGAAATACTATAACTTAAATGTTGAAAGCTACGCTAGCTAAAAATCCACCTACATCTGCACATAGCTTGCAGGTCACTTTTTCTCTCACCTCTGCTGCTTTTGCAAAGATTTTGTGGACTTAGGGTAGCTTCATGTTCACCACTGCCATCTACTGGATGGTACTCAGCACTGTGACGTGATCGTACTGCATCTGCACACCTGGTCTTAATCAGCAGTGCTTGGACTAGGCTGCATTCACATTGATCCATTTTCTTCTGCTTTTGCATTAAAAAAAGTGAAAGAAAAACATGTGACCATGTATTCCTATGGAATTCTTCACAATGATCTGTGGGCCCGGTGCATTTTTTATAATCCTGCTTGCTGCATTTTTGGTGCAGGTTTGGTGCGATAAAAAAAAACTGCACCTCCCCATTGAAAACAATGGAAAATGCACCAAAAACACATCAAAAACAAACCCGCGCTGCGTTTTTAGTGCAGTTTTTGAGTCACATGTCTTGTAAAAAATGAAATGCAAACACGATTAAAATGCTGCAAAAACACATTTGCATTTCTTGCCGCATTTCTGCTACGGATCAGTGTGAAAGTGGCCTTAATCCAGAACATTCAGGGTGAATTCTCACAAAAATCTGATAAATTGCAGAGCAGCTATCAATTTCGTGCTGTCCTACGGGGCTGTGTGATGTGCGATTCAGTGCATCTCTTAGATTGTAAGCTCCAAGGAGCAGGGCCCTCCTAACACTCTTGTATTGAACTGTATTGTCTCCCGTTATATTTTAAAGCGCTGAGCAAACTGCTGGCGCTATATAAATCCTGTATAATAATAATAATCTCCTTTTTTTTGTTTTGTAGGAACTTTATTTTAGGTGTACAAAATATACACTTCATTCACTGTAATGTACAATGCGCTGTGCTGCCCGAGATTGCAGTGCAATTTGTGTAGGGTTACCACCTCATCCCTATAAAACCAAACACATATTAATTACACTTGTTCTGTGGCTGATTAAGGTGGTCATTAACCTCCCTGGTGGTATTCCCAAGTGTAGCTCGGGGTAAAGTTTCAGCACCACAAGCGGTAACCCCCGAGCTACACTCGGGAATACAATGCAGCGTTGCTCCAGGATCTGTTCTTCTCTTACCTTGTCCTTCGCTCCCGCGATGTCCCCCTGCAATGTCCTACGGTCGATGTGTTCTGGGTTCCGTTCCCTGCGACGTCGGGATGTACAGGGGACAGAATGGTGGGAAATTCAAAAATGTGAAAAAGTGACATTCACTAAATACACTAAAATCACATAGTAAAACATTCCTGTATCAAAGCATTTCACATATATTTTGTCCCGAGTGCTTTGTCCTGTGCCCTGCCTGCATTTTTACTATTCTTTCTGCCTGGAAACTGAGAAACGTCCATGGCATCCAAAAAGTGTCCCTTTAGGTCAAAATCAGTTTTAGACCGGCTAGAGAACAGCGATAGTAAATTAGAACCACTTGCAGAATTGAGTGATAATGATTCGTGGGGGAAATTCGTCATCAGACACTGAAAACGATTTTGTGACTTTGCTCAGTGATGTGTGAACTTGGCACTATATTTCAAATTTCAGTGTTTTTGGTTTGATTATATTATTGAATTAAATTTATTATTATTATATTATTATTTTTTATGATTATTAAATTATAATTTATGATTTCGTGTTTCAAATTTTAACATACCCGGGATGTTTACTAGACTCTTGTTCGGACAGATTTCAGTGAGTTATTCCTAAAAATTATAGGCCTACAATAAAAAAATACATATTTCCATGCAAAAAAATGTACCGCTTTGAGCACAGAAATATGGATATAATCAGACCGCTAGGGAGGCTACACTCGCTTAGAGCCTTATCTGCACTAAATTAGCCCCAAAACCTGTGGAATGAATGTGTTCGGTTTTAGAGGTAAATATGTATTTTATTTTAGTAGATGCATCATATAAGAAAAGAAAGATATATTTATGTTGTGCCAAGCCAATGTAAAAGAGCGCAAACAATATGTACAATGAAAGGCTACGTGACTCGGCGGCAAAAACAGAGAACATAACATAACATATGAAGTCTATGTGGGCGCTCCATGGGCAGAAACAGCAGGATAGCGTCCATAAGAGTCCACTGGCTAGGAACATCAGATGGCACAATGATAAAAGCGGAGAATGGAGGGAACGAGAGCTGAGCAGAGACAAGTGTGATAGTCTCAGAAAGCTGAAGAGGGGGAGAGAGAAGAGAGAAAAAAAAGGGGGGGGAGTAGGTGTTGGGCTGGAATGGGGTTGGGTGGGGGGCGAAAATCAAGACCTAAACGGGGAGCTCCAAACTTAAGGAAATCGAAATAAGGGGTTTGAGCAGACACGGACACGTAAACCAGATGTTAGGGAAATGGAACAGGATAAAACCAATTGGAGGGTGGTGAGATGTGCCAAAAACTTTTACTTCAGGTGGTAACATCTCCTTGAGGGTGGCTGAGGAGGACAAATGCAGCATGTGCTCAGTTTAAAAGGGATGAGGTGGCAATCCTAACGCTGCATTTTTCTGCAGCACGCTTAGGGTCAGTTCACACTGGAACACGTGCGTTCACATGTGATCCCTTGTGTTGTGGTTTTCACATGAGTTGAGGTACCACGTGGTTTGAGGACCACAAATGCAACATTTGGGGTGCCATTAACAATTTACTTTTATAGGGTGCAGGGCCAAAGTATAATATAAAAACAAACCAACAAGTGAAAAGAAAAGAGAGATCACAAAAAAGCTTTTAAAATAAAAAAGCTAGGGATGCACTGATACTGGTTTTTCATTTGGCGAATACAAGTACCCATTCTCCGCTTTTATCAGGGAGGAATAGTGTCCCATCATTGGTATCAGTGGGAGGAATAGTGCCCCATCATTGGTATCAGTGGGAGGAATAGTGCCCCATCATTGGTGTCAGTGGGAGGAATAGTGCCCCATCATTAATGTCAGTGCGGGAGGAATAGTGCTACATCACTGACACCAATGATGGGGCACTATTCCTCCCACTGATACCAATGATGGGACACTATTCCTCCCACTGATACCAATGATGGGACACTATTCCTCCCACTGATATCAATGATGGGACACTATTCCTCCCACTGATACCAATGATGGGGCACTATTCCTCCCACTGATACCAATGATGGGGCACTATTCCTCCCACTGATACCAATGATGGGGCACTATTCCTCCCACTGACACCAATGATGGGGCACTATTCCTCCCACTGATACCAATGATGGGACACTATTCCTCCCACTGATACCAATGATGGGGCACTATTCCTCCCACTGACACCAATGATGGGGCACTATTCCTCCCACTGATACCAATGATGGGACACTATTCCTCCCACTGATACCAATGATGGGACACTATTCCTCCCACTGATACCGATGATGGGACACTATTCCTCCCACTGATACCGATGATGGGACACTATTCCTCCCACTCACACCGATGATGGGGCACTATTCCTCCCACTGATACCAATGATGGGACACTATTCCTCCCACTGACACCAATGATGGGGTACTATTTCTCCCACTGACACCAATGATGGGACACTATTCCTCCTATTGATACCAATGATGGGACACTATTCCTCCCACTGACACCAGTGATGGGGCACTATTCCTCCCACTGAAACCAATGATGGGACACTATTCCTCCCACTGACACCAGTGATGGGGCACTATTCCTCCCACTGAAACCAATGATGGGGCACTATTCCTTCCTCTGATACCAATTATGGGACACTATTCCTCCCACTGACACCAATGATGGGGCACTATTCCTCCTATTGATACCAATGATGGGACACAATTCCTCCCACTGACACCAGTGATGGGGCACTATTCCTCCCACTGACACCAGTGATGGGGCACTATTCCTCCAAATGACACTGATAATGGAATAAAATAAGAGGTGGAGCTCTAATAGGAAGAGGTGGGGCCAAAAGAGGAAGGGGTGGAGTTTACAGATGAAGGGGTGGGTCTTAAACAGGAAGGGGTGGGACACATTTAGATGCAGGGGGGTGCCCGATTTTAGTCTTGCCTAATGCAGCACAAAACCAAAATACACCACTGGGTGCATCTCTAAAAAAAGCCATATCCAGCAACATAGCAATAAAAAAATAGGAATGTACTCACTAAGAAAGCTGCCGATCCCAGAACCAGAAGCGGGCGTATGACGTCAACCCGTAGCTCCACCACAGCGTTTTGTGCAATAGCATGTCTTCAGCAGACATGTAGGAAAAGAATTAGAGTGCTGCTTAGGATGTAATCGTGGCACAAGGTATCCCATGTACCTAGCCGGAGTTGTCACGGAAGAGGAGAAGCGCAGGGATATGTGAAGAGATGATCTCTGTATCAGGAAGAAGTCTCATAATGTCACTGGGAGTAAGGTGAGATGTTGGACTGCGCTGATGGAGTGGTTACAGGCTCCGTGGTACCCATCCGAAAGTGCTGCATCCATTGGGAGAAGGCACAGAGCATGCAAATGTGAGGTGTGCGCAATAAAAAAGTGACACGTACACAAAGGTTTAACTGTACAAGTAAAGTATGGACGCTTCAGTCGGAGTGCAGCCTTAACAATGATTTCATGTGACGGCAGCCTCCGCCTGTAGATGTAGACATTAGGGAGTGCTACTAGCGGGTCCCACAACTGGGCATGTTAAGCCCCGCCGACATGGTGTCTTGCATTGTTGCACTGCAAAGCACCACTCCCCACTGCAGCACTGTTGGCACACAATGGAGACTCACTTGCACGTTAAAATGGACCGTTTTAGCACAAAGGGGCCCTCTATGCACACTTCTGTATGCCTTATCACATTACCAAAGTCAACATTTATTTTTTTTTCATAAAAAGAATTTACCGTTTTAAGAACTGCTTACAATTTAGTTATCTTTCTAAGATCTTTCTACCTATACACTTCATATGACATTTTGTATCACAGCTCAGCCATAATTACACTCAAGAGGTCTGGACACTTAAGCACGAGCCACGCCGCGTACGAGGGGTAAGTCGGTTACCATGTAAGAAACACATCTTTGTTTTCCAATTCTGAAAAAAAAAAAAAGAAACATCACTTTGGCTGAAACGAAACAGAATTTCTTTCTCCAGAAAGCATCTCTCGGGAGAATATATGTAAAAAAAATTTATTCACAGCTTCACTTTTCGTTCTTCTGCAGCCAATGTTGCTGATGGGTCCTTCTAGACTTTTGTTTTTAGAAGCATGCGGCTGAATAAGAGCCTTGTTTGCAGAGCTAGCTTTCAGGAAACGCTATACCACGTGAAGTTTTTCCATTGGCTGGAACGGTGCCGGGTAAATGTCTGTCTTTCTTCATCCTTCAGTTTATTTGGTGTTGAATGTTTTTGCGTATTTAGTGCGAGTATTTAGACACAATTTGGAAGTATTAAGACCCAAACTCAAGCTTGACTAATATTTGGGTTATGAATCTGCTACAAGGCTTACAAATGACATTTTACAGCCTCACTTCTTCAGATTTAATAGCTCTCAGATTATAGATATAATTTGTGACATTTTCCAGGAATTTTGCTCTAAAACTGCTATGGCTGCTTTATTTACTTTAACCCCTTCCCAGCCATCCCCCATGTCCCTATAAATGGGTCTTTACCTTTTTTTCTAAGGGAAACCCCCTTGTCTCCGCCCCCTACCCTCCTGTGAGCACTGTCCCTTGGTGCCACCCCCTACCCATGTAAAGAAACCCCCAATGGCTAAACAGCCTGTCCTGGGAGTGGTACATCAGCTCATGCCGTAAACCCCACCCCCTACCCACCTCCGAGCCCCTTTTAGAGAATACAGGACCAAGTATCATTTTGTGGTGCTAAATAATTTGTATGGAATTAGTTAACCAATTCCATACCGGGCAATTTTACACCTTCCTGCCCAGGCCAGTTTTCAGGTTTCAGCGTTCTCACACTTTGAATGACAATTGCGCGGTCATACAACATTGTACCCAAACTAAAATTTTATCATTTTCTTCACACTAGAGCTTTCTTTTGGTGGTATAATCACCGCTGGGGTTTTTATTTTTTGCTAAATTAACAAAAAAAGACCAAAACTTTTGAAAAAAAAAAAG